TGCACTTAGGGGCCCTTCTCTCAAGCGCTGGAGTCTGGCCGCCCCCCCCCAGACTTGCCCACATTCCCCACTCCATCCACCCTGCTCTTTCAGCTTGCACCCCCTGGCCCTTGCACCCTCCTACCGCAGTCCCGGAGCAGCTCAGCCCGGCAAGTTCTGGGCTATCGTGGTTCTTCAGGTGGAGTGGGGTTGGAGGGCGAGGGCCTCAAGCACTGCCCTGTACACCAAGCATGGCGTGGCCCTGCAGTACGCCCATGCACCAAACTCTGGCGTCCCAGAGGCACAGACCACCGCCCTGTCTCAGGCTGTCATGAGCTCCCGCCCTTCTGCTCCACCCACAGGCCACAGTGCAGCTGGACCTGCTCCTGCGGTGTCAGATAGGGCCATGGCTAGGGGCATGGGGACAGGCAGGAAAGGCTGTGATGCAGAGGTGCTGTCGGACTGATCCTCTCAATCTGGGGACTCACGTGGGTCCCCTGTAGGGAACCTGTGCTCCCACTGCTCCAGGTCACTCCACGAAGCCACCAAGAAAAGCACTTCCTGGTGACCATGACTGACCGGTAAAGGACAGGGGCTGCCAAAGGCAGGACTAAAGTGGAGGCTATTTCAAGTGATCTCGGGTGGAGAGAACAGCAACGGGTTACCGTGGAGGCTAACTCCTAAGATCCAGAACTTGAAACTCAGCTGCAGATAACCCGATCACACACACTCGAGCACAAGCACAAGCAGCATGCCAAGAACACGAATAGACATTTATCCCAGTATATACAAGTGGCCAGGAGGTGCTGATGACACTCAGCACTAGAAGGCAAGTCAACTCCTACCAGGTTCCTTCCAACTCACTGGGTGGCCAGTGGGTCTTCAGTAACAGGTGCTAGGTGTGAGGACATGCCCTCGGGGGTGGTGACAGGGCTGCGGGAGGGGCTGCTCCTGTGAGAAGCAGCTTGGTGGTAGGTTTCTTATAAAGTTAAGCATCAGTTCACCAAAGGACTTCCTAGATATGCACCCAGAGAGCTGAAAACAGTTACAAAGGAGCTGGGCTCTCCAGGACAGACACAAGCCGAGCATATGGGGGAGGGGGAGCAGGTTCAAGACTGGACAAACCAAATGCACAAAAGGAGGGAGGTGATGGCACATGCCACCCATCAGAGGAGCTGGAAACAGGCAAACCCAGGCATCCATAGTGGGGCTGTTGGGCTGGCAGGTTCTTGTGGTGAAGGGTGGGTAGTGAAGCTAATGAAACAGGCCTCCCTTCGGGACAGCGGAAGCACTTTGGGGCGAGCATGGTAATGGCTGCGCCCGATGCATCCTCATTTTGTGACAAAGCCCCAGGCCGATGTTGCTCAGGCTGGCCTTGAACCCAGGCCCAGCGATCCTCCAGTCTCAGGCTCCTCAGTAGCTGGGCCCAAACAGCACTGTGCAAAACCAGATCGTGAATATTCCACAAGGCTGTATTTTAACTGAAAGGATTTTCTCTCAGAACACATCACACAGAAGCTGTCTACAAGCCCACCGTCAGGCTGTGGCCCGCCCCTCGCTGGGTAGAAAAATGGGTACATTCCCTGTAGCTTCTGGCCATACTGGCAGTCTGGAGAGCCACCCTGCCCATGACTTGCTGAGAAGAGGGTCTGAGTTGTGTGATGCCAGGCTGAGTGGTGTTGGTGTGCTGGCAGCAGTGTGGTATGACTTCCGTGTGTTCAGAGCAGAAGTCAGAGGGGTTACTGGGCGGGGTCCCCCTGCCACACTCTGGTGCCTCACAGGAGTGGGAGATGCCTGCTCAAGCAAGGCAGGGTCGGACACTCTGTAAGCTGTTCCCTCCTCATCCGAGAGGCTGGCCTTAAAGACTCACTGCCCTGGCCTCTAGGGCCCTACTCCAAACTGCTTTCCTCCACATAAGGACACCCTGTGCCAGGCCCCGAAGGAAGCCCTCACCCACCTCTCCTGGCTGCATGGGAGGCTGGAAAGGCCGTATTTCCCACCTGACATCAGAGCTTTGCTTGAGGATTCTTGCCATGGTGGTTCAGCCTCGGCATTTTGCTCTCCCCACCCCCTCCACAGCTCTGTCCTGACGGGGCTTGAGAAGGGAGGAATCTGGAAGAACTTAGGAAGGCAGATGGTGGGGCCAGCTGCAGGCCCTCCAGCTCTGGCTTCCAAAGGAATGCCAGGGAACATGGAGTGTGAGTGTGCGTGCGTGTGGAACATTTGAGAGATAGGGGAGGGTGGGGGGCGCACCCCTGGGAGACCTGCCAGTCTGAGGCACTCTGATAGATCCAAGGTACTAACCTGGGACTCTGACTCAGCAAGTAGGTGGAGTGAGGCCACAGCTGTGCGGGGTTCCGGCTCAAGTGCACACTTCCTTTCCCACACGACACCAAGGGAGGTGGGGGCCGTGGACACCACAGGGCTTACCTTCCTGTTCAGACACCCTGGGTGGCCCCGGGGTTCCTGCAGACACAGCAGGCGTGTGGAGGGGAGGGTGCTGCCCTCTGCCCCACACCTCATGGACTGGGAACCAGCTGCCAGCTCCATCACAGAGGGCAGCAGCACACCCGCCCCGAGGGGTCTCGGCAGTCACTACACACCGGATTAGGAGCTGAGGCTAGGGGAATGGGTGTCCCAGGAGAGCCATCCCTGCTGTCTTCCTCTATCACTGACCCTCAGTCCATGCTGACCACCTCCCAGGGGTGTCCACCTGTCACCTCCCGTCCAGGAAGTCAGAGACTGGGGTTGAGGCAGGAGACGTGCTACAGGCCCGCCACCTGCGTCCCGCCTCAGCTGCCACTCTGGTGACCCTAGGATGTGTGGGAGGACAGGGTGCTGCAGCCACGCTGGGAGCCACCTCTGTGGCCTGCCTCAGCAGCCTGTCAAGCCCACCCAGATAATCCGCCGGCCTAAACAGACCTGCCTTCTCACAGGGATGGGATTTTGACGCTCCCTCTGGTGAGAGGGTGGCAGGAAGAGGAGTGAGGAGCCAAGCCTGGGGCTTTCTCACCATGGGCCTCAGCCGGCTTCCCATCTGGCACCCTCTGTGCAGCTGACTCCCTGACGCCCACTCTGGAGCCTGCTCCAGGCTTGAGTCTTTCCCACTGCAGGTCCCCCAAGCTCCATGGCAGGCAGGCTTACGGGCGGGAACTATGGGGCTGCAGCCCAACTATGCCCATGGAAGGACAGTCTACAGTGGCTGCGATGGTGACGTAGCCGTGATCCCTGAGAATAAAGCCACCAAGCCAGAACCAGATCTGTATTCAACAGAAGTGGAAGTACAGAGCTGCAGGTGCTGACACAGGCTGCCAACCTGAGGGCCTCTGGATACCTGAAGCCTGAGGCTCTTCACGTACCCTGATGCTCATGTGTGTTTCCTGGTCGGTATTGTGGTCTAGCTGGGCCATGATGACCACAATGACTAGCCGGAGATGGAGGAGGCTGGCAGCCACCAGCCCAGGCTAACATGCCTGCTGCACCCTCTTGGGGTTTTGGCCACGGTAGCCTCTGGGGCCTGGTGCTCTACCCATGGCAGTGGGTGAGGTTCCCACAGCCCGAGATGATCTTCTCAGGGTGGGGATTGTGCCCAGGCTGAAGAAGGACAGCACAGGTCTGTGTCTTCATGATGCCCAGTTCCCTTCAACTGCTGGTCCTTCTGCTGCTCCTGGAGGTCTGGCTCGGGGTCTTTCAGGTCTGTGCTGGTACCTCTGCCACGGTCTTCAGGAGGCCTGCCTTCATCTGCAGGGCTTCCTGGACCTCCTTTGGGGCATGACTTTAGCCTCTGCCCCTTCTGGCTCCTGGTAATGACATCAAGAAGCAGGTAACATAAAAAGCCAGGGTGTGTCAGAAGTCCCCTGGCTCTGTAAGGCCTGATGAAGGGCCCAAAGCTACCCAGGGTAGGAGCAAGGGAGGTTCATCCTTAACTACTCACGCCCCAGCCAAGGTGGGGCCTCTGTCTTCACCTGGGCAGTGAGGTGCCCCAGAGGCAGGGATCAAGACTGAAGCTGTCTTGATCAAGACTGAAGCAATATATCAGTGGACTTGGGGAGGGGCATGCATGCAGAAAGGGGGGGGAGGGGGGACCAGGAGGGGAGGAGGGAGGTGCTTATGGGGGGATACAAAATGAATAAAGTGTAATTAATAAAAGTTAAATAAAAAATTAAAAAAAAGACTGAAGCAATAGCACCATGTTCTATTGCTGATGCCCTGTGCCTCAGTTTCCTCACCTGTGCAATGGGGTCACAGTTATCTGTTTCTTGGCAAGGCTTCCCTAAGGCCTGATCTGGCAATACCAGTTTGGGTAAAGAATTCATGCCAGCCTTGTGCCTGCTGACAAGACTCACTGTGTCTCAAAGCTTGAAGGACAAGAACTCCTGTGATCAGGAGACAGGCATGTGAGGGAATGTTACAAAGAAAAGAACCATGTCTGACTCCAAAGACCAGACCTGTTCTAGGGAGACCTGGCTGGACCTCTGGACAGATGAAGGAGACCAGAAAAGGCCAGGTAACTGTACCGGTCAGTTTTATGTCAGTTTGACATGAACTACAGCCATCTGAGAGGGAGCCTCGGTTAAAAAAAATGTCTCCATAAGACCAGGCTGCAGGCAAGCCTGTAGAGCATTTTCTTAATTAGTGATGGAGGGAGGGCCCGGCGCACTGGGGGTGGGGCCATCCCTGGGCTGAAGCAGGGCTGTATCAGCTCCTGCCTCCAGATTCCTGTCTTGCCCTGCCTGAGTTCCTGTCCTGACTTCCTCCAATGATGAACAGTGATGTGGAAGTGGATGGGAAGCCAAATAAACTCTTTCTTCCCCAACTTGCTTTTGGCCATGGTGTTTCTTTCCTCACAGCAACAGAAACCCTAACTAGGATAGCAACCATGTTTAGACCAGCTGAGCCGCAGTCCTAGGTCCTCTGCCAGGCCTGCTCTCACACTGTGGCCCTAAGGTCAAACCCTTCGTCAAGGACAGGCTGGCTCACACACAGCCCCTTGAGGGCATCCTTCCCATACTCACTTCTCATTCTTTTGTGCAGGAGACCCAGAGTGTCCTAGAGTCCTTCGGATGTACTCTCGAGAGCGGATGTCAGCCTGAAAGACACACAGCTGTGGCCAGCCTGGAACCACTTTATACCCTTCCAGAGGCAGCCCACACAGGCTATCGTGTCCTTTGGGGACATAGTCCCACAAGTGTGCAGCTCACAGAGATGCCGGAGCCATAGGGCTGAGGTGAATAGGCTGAGGACCCTGGCTCCTCCCAGCATAGCTGGCTGACCTGGTGAAACCTGGGTCCAGAGCTCCAGCTTCTCCATGCTGCCCAGACCTCTCCTCTGATCCACAGGCCAGGTGTCTATCATCTCTGGCTGTCCCTCTGATGGGTGTCAAGTGTAACCAACACTTGCCCACCTCCAGAAAGTTTGGCAAGTTATCACAATTAAAAAGGGCTTGTGGGCCACAGGCAGGGACGGGGTGGGACTCAGAGCTGATATACCCCCACCCCCACGCTGCCACCTCTAGGTGCCTGGCCTCAGGAAGCCCCTGATCCCAGCTCAGATGGGTTTAGCTTAGCTTTGGGATCATGACTCACTGAGAGCAACAGCTAATCCTGAAAACAGCTTCTCCTCAGCCAAGGGAAGTAGGCCATGGGCAGTGGGCTGTCCTGATGGGCAGGGCCTAGACCTGGTGCAAGGAAGGCAGCAGGGCCTAAAACCAATAGCCCTACTGGCTTGTACTAGAGTCTGGGTACGTACCAGAGCAGAGGGAAGGCAGACCCTAGAGACAGGCACCAGTCCCTCCTTGGAGAACTTTGGGGAAGTGGAATTGTCAGGAGGGAGCTCTGCTGAGGGCCAGTGGAAAGAAGACAGGTCAAGAGGCACAGCTGGTCCTGCTGGGCAGGGCCAAGCCTTATTCCCTTCCCCCTGTCAGCCTGGGCTCCTGGGAGATCATGTGCTTGCTGTGTGCAGGGCAGGCTCTCTTGTTCTAGGCATGTACTGGCTTTCAGTAGTCAAGGTGCTTTGCAGGAGGCTGACCCCTTACCTGCTAGGACAGAAACTACTGTAACCTGGGGAAAAACAAGGTCAAAAGAGCAGGTCTGGGACTGCATAATACTGGGCTAAAAGTCCTAAGGAAGGGTATCAGTAGCTTTCTCTCATTAGACTAAAATGGAAAAGGAAAGGCTCCCTGGGGCTAGGGACGCAGCTCAAAGGTTTGAGAGACCCTGCATCTGTCACTACAGTAACAATATAGATGAGGACAGGTTGAAGAGGGCCCTCCTTGGGGAGGACAACAGCTCAATCACTCCCAGAAGCCACCTCTGGGCAAACCTTTTCAGGAGCAGGGCTGAGCATCACCGGAGGCACAGCCCGCTGCTGCCACCTGGTGGCTGTCTGTGGAGCGTTCTTGGATGAGGTTGAAGTCTGACATCTCCAGATAGCCATTTATTTGCACCGGTCTATGAGGATGGACTCCCTTTTCTCAGGGAGGTTGTAAGTCTCTCCTGATCAGGATGACCCCAGGTCTTGTAAAGGGCATCACATAGTTCTCAGGACAGATTACAGGCTAGCCCCTTTCCTGATAAGGAAACCACTCCAACCAGCATCTGAGAATGCCTAGAAATGCCCCACCCTTCTAAGGAGCTTAGTCTTCAGCAGTGACCTTCAATAATGCTTGGAGATTGCCCTATACATAGGCTAATTCAATACTGTGTTCTCCTTCCTGTATTAAGACAAAGATACTGCATGAAAAATGAGGCACTGTACCACTACTTGCAAATCCAAGTATCCCTGACCCCCTGACCCTGGCAAATCAAACACTTTCAACCTCGAAATCCCTCCTTCTGCCCAAGGTTTATAAATCCCTGATTTCAAATAAACGTGGCGGGGGAGGGGGGAATATGCATGCTGGCTGGCTAACTGGTTTTGTGATACTGTCGGCTTTCCACCTCGGCTGCCTGAGATTAGTCATTTATCCTGTCAGGACCAGGCCTGCCCTCTGGGCCACTGGGCCTGGACCTTGCTAGGCCTGTGTTTTAGCTGCAAGCTGATCAGGCAAGGGCTTTCACTCAGCACAGCAGCTTAACCAAGAGCTGTAACACCTTAGTATTGCCATAGGCTTTGGAACTCCTGACTTTCCACTGCCACTGGTGATCTCATTGTAAAAGAGCTAAACTATAACACTCTGTGGAAAATCTTTTATACCACAGCCTAGCATGTGGGCCTCTCCCTAAAGCACTCTAGTCACTCCTGAGAGAAATGGAGCCCCCTTCTCTGTCCGGAAGCCGGTTCTAGGCTCCTGCTGAAATCCCCCATGGAGGATGACAGCCCTTCTGTGCATCTGCAGCTCTCCCGAGGGCTGAGCCTGTAGCTTCTCTGCTCATTGCACTGTTTCACACCTCCCGAGGACCTCAGCCTCTTGAGTGTACACAGTGATAGGGCCTGGAATCTGAGGCTTCCTGCCTCCCGGTTGACCCAGGGCTTTTGCTGGTGTCTTTCCAGAGCCTGCGCCGTCCTGTCCTCCTCTAAAGAATGGCCTTGCCAGGGTCCCCAACCTCAGGGCCTCTGTGGGACAGGCACCTGCAGGTGAGAGGTGATGCAGAAAGGTGACCTATGCATGCTGGGAGCTCCGCGGATGCTGCTTCCCTGAGGCCGAGATGCCTGGCTTATCAGAGAGCTGAGCCTCTGGGTCCTCAGTGCAGCTTAGGCAACAGGTGCCTGGCACAGCCATCCCCTGAAGACTCAATTGGTTTCCCTGGCACCAGCACAAGCCTGCTCAATGTAGCCATAGAACACCCTATGAGAGCCTCTGACAAGGGCCGCTCCCCACTGGTCCTGCCCAAGATGTGGTAACTTTAGAAGGACAAGGTGTTCTACCACCTGCACGGCCGGTGCTGGGTGCCAGAGGCTTGGCAAGGCAGAGGCAGCATGGTGGCAAGAATCTCCAAGTAAAGCAACCTCTCCTCTACACTCCTGCCTACAGGGCTCAGCCCCACCCAGCTCTCGATCCAGGGGCTGGGATGAATTCTCAGATCCCTGCAAAGACCCACCCCAGGCGAGACTGTGTGGCAATGGCAGGCCCTCCCCAGCCCCCATACCTGGCGTATAGGTTCTGGGACCCGGAACCTACAGCAACAGTGGGTCAGGCGTACAGCGACCTCCAGGCTTACTCTGTGTCCCACAGAGACATAGAGGGGATTGGTGCTGCGGTCATGGCTCTTCAGGGCCTGTGGATGGAGGGGGTCAAGCACAGATGGGGCATGTTCCTGTGGAGCAGGACTAAGGTTCTGAGGAGGTCCTGGTGGCAGGAAGGAGTTCACAGGGTGCAGGGACTCTGGGGTTGTTGGCCCTCAGCTATCTTCAGGTGGCACATGGGTGAGAGCAGCCAGAGGAGGACTGACACAGCACACCCTGGTTGGTGGCAGGATGTTAGAGGACAGGGTCCAGCCTGTATAAGTGCCTGGTCTAGTGGACCCCGAGTCTGGACAGGGCACAGCCTTCTGGGCACTCACCATTCCTAGGACAGTCCCAGAGTTGCCCACCAGAGGAAATGTGTCTCCCCCAGCCTGCAGGAGCACAATCTGGGAAACACAGAAAAAAACTATAAAAATACTTTAAAAAAAATGTGTATAGTGGGGCTGGAGAGATGGCCCAGTGGTTAAAAGCATGGGCTGCTCTTCCAGAGGACCCAGGTTCAATTCCCAGCACCCACATGGCAGCTCACAACTGTCTGCAACTGTAGTTCCAGAGGATCCGACCCTTCACACAGACATACATGTATGCAAAACAATGCACATGAAATAAAAATAAACACATAAAAAAAAACAACAAAGGGCTGGACGCAGTGGTACACGCCAGTAATCCCAGCACTCAGGAAGGCAGAAGCAGGTGGATCTCTGTGAGTTCAAGGCCAGCCTGCTCTACAAAAGCAAGTCTAGGACAGTGAAGGCTACACAGAGAAACACTGTCTCAAAAAAAAAAAAAAGTCTAAGCAGCGATTAGCTGCTCATTTTGGCTAGGAGCCACCCTCCATCATGGCAGTACACTCAGAGGTGGCACTGAGTCTGTTGGCAATGGTGCTGAGGTCACTGCCATGAAGCTCAATGTACCCTGGTAACGGGCTTGGAGAAGCGGTTGTGGCTTGCCAACGCCCCACTAAGCAGGTGGAGGAAATCCAGGTGCACTGGGCTCAGCAGTCCACGTCCGGGCTGAAGCTACCACCTCTCGGCGCCCCCTCTCCAGCTACGGATCCGGCACGTCAACTCGAAGCCCTTTTCTTTTGGGTGAGAAAGGATCAGCACACCCAGTGATCAGGACCTGGTTCTCCCTGCTCCACCAGCATAACAGGTGTTGAGAAATCACCCTCTGCACAGGCTCCTGGGAGCTAGGAGAGAGATGCCAGGCCCCTGCTCTTGGGACTTGCCCAAGGGATAAACACGTCAATGGCTTCCCCTGGATGGAGATGGCATACCCACAGTGAGGATTCTGGGGTAGAAAATGGCAAACTGGAGGCGGGCAGAGCGAGGGCCAGAGTTGGCACTTACTTACTGTGGTGCCAACCACAGTAAGCCTGGATTGCAGGCTGGCTGCAAACAGCACGGGATGGGAGAAGGTGGCTGGGGTGAGATGGGAGGCCTGGAAAGCCTGTCCCCAGAACTGGAGGACACAGCCTGGCCTGAGTGCTGCAATGGCACAGACGTAGGGAAGCAAGGGCGGCAGACATGGTGGAGAGCTGTGAGCCACTGCTAGGTGAGCTGCCCAGGGTGCATGGAACGAAGTGCCTGGGAAAAGCAGGTCTTCTGGGCAAGAAACCAGGGATGTGAGGTGTGTGCAGCAGGCCAGGCTAGCCCTAAGGCCCCATCCCAGGGCTAACAGAGCTGCACACTAGCTGGGTCACAGGGAGCCCCAAGGCCCTCCTCACCTTCTCCTTGTGCAGAGCATCATTCTCCAGCCCGTCCACCTGCAGGAGCTTCTTGGCCACCCCAATGCAGGGCAGCTCTGTAAGGACACCAAGGTGGCAGGCCACCCCAAAGCCTGCATGGGAGCAAAGGGGGTGAGTTAGGTGGTGGGGATGGGATAGGGAACCAATTAGAATCTCTCATCTATAGACAGACTCTTGAGCAGGAACCAAACTGACTGGACTATGAGCGAGGCCCTGTGTCCTGACCTCAGCAGTGTTAAGGATGGCATGTGGGAAGCCTTCTTCCTCTGACAGTGTGGGTGACCTAAGGCACAACACATCCTCAGAACCTTTCACCCTCTACCATCTGGGGCTGTCCTCAGGCCTCTGCATCTGGCCCCTAAGGTCCTGCAATCAGGGGCCTGGATTGCAGTGGCTGGGAATATACACCCAGGAGTGGCCAGAACTGGTGTTCATCCTCTAGTTCCAGGCCTAGGGATTCTAGCCAGACCCTTATCGCTACTGCAGGCTAGGATGGTTGATACCTCCCTCATGTCTTGCTTGGGAGTGTGACTGTACCCTTCTTCAGGCTACAGTGCCCTGGCATGAACAGGGACGATGGAGCTAACCTGAGCTCAGTCCTGTGCCTCTTTATCGTCACTGGGGATGGGCCAGCATAGGGTACTATGTGAGGCAAGTGGGTGGACAGAGGTGGGTGACAGTAGGGGCTCTTTTGGGTGGCAAACAGTCTACTCACACTCAGTACCCATCTGAGCCTTTCCGGAGGATTACCTCGCTGGTGAAGCACCCCGTTTCCATCCACAAGAAGGACCTACAGAGCCACAGGGGAGTCAATCGGCTGGGCTGTCCTGGGGCAGCAAAAAAGGGAGATGGCAACAGGGGTCCTGGTCTTTTAAACTCTCACCCCCTCCTTCTGTGGGTGGCAGTGGCTGAGGGGCCTTCCCTCCCTAGGCACAAACCGGGGTGTTCTCCTGACCTTAGGAAGCACCTACCTGGGGCATGAGGCTTGGATCCTTCTCCTGCAGCTGCTGTACCAACTCTACCAGGAAGGGCACCTCTCGGAAGGCCAGGAAGCCTGACACATAAGGGGTCTTCAGGCCAACCATGCGGCTGTCCTCATATACCACCTGACAGCAAAGCCCACAGGTATAGGTCAGATGCTGGCTACATTCCTCTGCCATCCACCCATGGCTCCCACCTGTGCCTAGGATGAGACCAGGGTTTGAAAGACAGGGCAAAATGATCTGCCTGCAAGTGGCAAGTCGACTTAAATTTCATCTTATAAGTACTTGCTTGGGGCCTGGTATGGACAAGAGCCCCAACACCAAGTGTATACAGGGAACACCCTCAGGGCCTGGTGTGTGTGAGGAGCAGCTGCACCCCTAAACCTCATCTCTTTCAGGAGCTTGGCTGAGGTGAGGGCCAGCCTCAGGCCTACTGAGGCTCAGAGTAGAAGGCCCAGAGCAAGCATGCTGTGAGTGGGCAGTACTGTGTGCACCTCAGAAGGACCACGGGAGGACGGTGGTCCATCATCACCTGGAGGTGGCCTCTAAAAGCCAACTGAGCACTAAGGGGCTCAGGATAGGGCTCTGCACACAGCATGGGGTGGCGAGCTCCTGACTCTGTAACTCCATCAGCCTCACTGGCCTGCTGTAGAGACCCACTCCTACTGTGTCCATTTCTCCCTGCCCCCCCCCGACCCCAGGCTCCTGATGAGGGTTTCCAGACCACAATTCCCATGGGCCCTTGAAGCTGGATCTGCACCTAAGTGCACCTAGAGAACTGGCCACTGGGTGCTGGGGCTTGGCCTAACCCTTCACCAAGGACTCAGGAAGAAACTTCTCAAAGCTGCCAATGACTCTAAATGGGGTGTTCACTCAGAATCTGGCTCAGACAGCAACACATGAAGACCGCTACAGAAAAAGACAACTGATCAAAATGCAGTGCTGCTGATTCCAGCCCCAACTGATAGATGCACCTGCAACCCAACTCCTAAGGCCCAGGGACCGTTGTGGAACAGCGGGTAGTAAGACTGTAAGAGTCAGAGGAACAAGGAGTTTGTGTGGGACTGTTCTAGAAATGTCAGAGGCTGCAGCCATGGATTCCCAACAACATGGCTGCCTACATGACCCGAACATGGATGACACATAAACTTGGACAGGGGAAGCTCAGGAGGCCTCAACCCCAGACAAAGTATAGGCAACTGCTGAGAGCAGGGCAAACAGTCTTCCCTAGGAAAGAGCACACCCATCTGGGTAATCAAGTGCTCAACCCTGAAATCATATACACATAAGTAACACTACAGAGTAGCATACGGTGTATGGAGGGAGTCTGGAGGGAGTAAAGGGAAAAAGGAAATTTACAATTTTACTGTGGTATCAAAAATAATTAAGAAAACGTGCCTAGTGCCTTAGGCTGTGCTTACACAAATGTGTGGACACGAGACCATGAACCCACATGACCCTTACTGCACCAGGGTGAGCCGTAATTGCTGGACTGCACAGGTACGAGGTGCAGGATGGACTCTGCTGACAGCATCAGTAGGCACCGGCAGTAAGTGAGGCATTGTAAGTCACTGTGGCCTTCAGGACAGGGCCAACAGTGGGAGGTGGGGAAGGGCCTTCCCTCTACGCTTTGCTGCCTGGGCAGCACTGATAAGTAACCGTCACAGAAGCCTCTTCTACCATGGAAAAGGACACAGAGGCTACAGATGGCCAGCTACGGGAGGAGCTATCCCATACGGCTGCCATCTGTCAAGGGCGCTGAGGACAGAACTCCTGTGTAAAGGAAGACCATTAGTTCTCCAACCAAGCTTTACTCATGGGAAGCCCTCTGCAGGAGATGCGCTTCCCCCGTAAAGGAGCTGCGGCTCTGGAACTATGTTTAATAGCTTTTCTGTGGCATACTTTACATTTGACAAAACTCATCTGTGAAGTGTGTGACTCAGTGAGTTTTGGTGTTCCCACCATCATTATAATCTTACTTTAAATATTTCATTTATTTTTAGTGTATGAGTGTTTTGTCTGCAGGTCTGGAAACATACCATGCGTGGTGCCCAGGGAGGCCAGAAGAGGGCCATGGGATCCCCTGGAACTGAACTTACGCACGGTTGTGAGATGCCATGTGGGTGCTGAGCACTGAACCTAGGTCCTCTGTGATAGCAGGCATACTTAACTGCCGAGCAAGCTCTCCATGGCCCCAAATCCAATTCTAGAACAGTTCCTCAATTCCTAATTAGTCTGGTCCTAAATAGAAGTTACATCTCTCCAAACTATGTTCAGCTTTAGTGTGATCATCGACTTTGGTTAGACTTGTAGTTTCTTGAATGGGGTTGGAGAGATAGCTTAATGGTTAAGAGCACTGGCTGCTCTTCCAGAGTACCTGGGTTCAATCCTCAGTACCCACATAGAAGCTCACAACCACAATTGTCTGTAATTCTAGTAGGAAATCGAACATCCTGTGGCCTCCACAGTCATCAGGCATATAGAGTGCACAGCCATGATATAAACAAAAGCCCCATATGCATACAATAATTTTAATCATGTAGGAGACACACCTCTGAATACGCCTGTGAGAACATTTCAGAGGCTCAGCTCAGGAGGGAAGATCCACCCGAATGTGGGTGGTGCCATCCATGGGCTGTGGTCCAGGCACATAAAGGAGAGCCAGTGAGCTAAGCTCTAACATCCCATTTTCCTGCTTTCTGGTCTGCTGAGATGTGAACAAGCAGCCTCAGACTCCTGCCTTCATGGACTGTGCCTTGAAAGCATGAGCAACATAAACCCACACTCGTCTCTGTCACGTGTACCTAATATGCTTAGGTTCCACAGATGCTCATCCTTCAGGAGCCTGCTTCTGCAATCTGTATCTCTAAACACACTCCAGGGGAGCCACAGGCAGGCAACTGGGAACCAATGGGACACACTTTCACAACTCTTCCCTGACTTAAGACTGCAAGAAGCAAATGCTGAATGTGCAAGCATGGGCACTCTGCTCAGTGCTGGACCACAGCACAACTGTGGCATGCCACTGCCCTTGAGAGTGCTCAGTGAGGGGGTAAAGATGGAACGCTGCCTGGTAGGTTTCACATGGGTGAGCAGCGGGGACAGCAGGTACACTGAATAAGGCTTAAGGCCACAAGTCAGGGTGCTTAAGTCTGCAGAGGGAAACGCTGGAAGAGGGCAATCTGTGCTAGCTGCTTCCTACACAACTGTTTCTTTTCTTAAGACAAAAAACAGTCTTGTCTTGTGCAGTCCTGGCTGTCCTAGAACTCACTCTATAGACTAGGCTGGCCTCCACCTCCTGAGTGCCGGGATTAAAGGTGTAAGCCACGGCTGCCCAGTTTCCTACATAACTCTTTAAGAGTTGGCATTAATACCATCATTGTTCTTGTTAGCTTTCTGTTGCTGTGACAAAATACTCAGGCCAAAAGCAACTTGAGAAGAAAAGGGTTTATTTCAACTTGCACCTTCAAGTCACAATCCACATTTGAGGAAAGTCAGAGTGGGAATGCAAGCACAAACTGAAGCAAAACCCTGGAGAAACACTGCTTACTGCTCACTCAGCTAACTTTCCTATACAGTCCAGGCTCACTCGCTGACAGTGATCTGGGCTTCTCATCTGAATAATCAATTACAATAATCCCTCACAGATGTGGCCACAGGTCAATCTGAGGCAATTCTACTCAAGCTCCCTCTTTCTAGGTGACGCTGGATGTCAAGTTGACAATCTTTCTCACAAGGTTAGAGGGGAAAATAGGTGGAAGGGATAGTGTGGGGAGGGGTAGACCCAGGGTATCACAGGAGCTGCCTAGGGCCGGTGTCTCTGCTCTTACCCCTACACTACCACCGAGAGTAACCAGGGACCCATAAGACCATGAGACCTAGCTCCTTCCTACTACATAGCGGGCTCAGAGTGCAGCAGGCATTTTGCATTTGTGTTGAAATGGAACTTAAAGGGGCCTTCTGGGCAAGGCATAAAGCTATAGAGGTGGGAAGAATCTGCTGCTTTTGGAGGCGTGATGGTAGAAATGCTAAAGCTGGGTGCAGCCAAGGCTTCCTGAGCGGCTACTGTAGATGAACCACAGGCCAACTGCTCGTTCCTGCACATTATCTATTTAGAGAGGACCTTAGTGTTTCACATACAGCAGGGCAAGTCAAGATAGCTGGCACCAAAATTTACACTCTGGAGAGAGAGACAGGCTATGTTCATTTCCATATGACAAAGGAGAGGTTTGAGGTTGCTATTGTCTTTAAATTCATACAGTGAAATTTTAACCTACAAAAGGGACTACATTAAGAAGTGGGGCGTAGGGGCTGGAGAGATGGCTCAGAGGTTAAGAGCACTAGCTGTTCTTCCAAAGGACCGGAGTTTAATTCCTAGCACCCACATGGTGGCTCATAACCATCTGTAGTGAGATCTGGTGCCCTCTTCTGGTATCTAGGCACACATGCAGGCAGGGTACTTATATAAATAATAAATCTTAAAAAAAAACTATTAAAAAAAGTAGAGAGCAAAAAAATAAAAAATACTGGGAGCACTTCAGAGGTGACTAAATCACATGTGAGGACATAAGAATTGTAACAGGGCCCAGACCTTAGCACAACTGACTCCATGAGGAAAGTACCATTCAGACTGTAAAATTCAGCATGTAAATAGTGCCACCTGCCAAAACCAAAACCTAATATGTCACAGTCTATATAGTTCTGGGAAAGCTTCAAACCATACTAACTGCTCTTTAGCTTCTCCAGTTCCACTTCTATTCTTGTTAACTGAAGTATGTCAAGCCAGAACATGGTTTTTGTGCTTAAAGACTCACTCTGAGAAAGGCTCAGTGCAACAGTGGGGTTCCCAGTGTAGTGGCTGGCCGGCTAATACTTTCTGTTGGCTTGAACCCATGTCCAGGCAGTCTTCTCTATCTAGCCCATAACAAAACACAGGGAGAAGGGCCTATCTGAATCTCAAAATCTTACCAGAGCCTCACAATCTTTCTTTACTCCTTGATCCTGAACTTCCAGTCTTCACGATCAAGAGAAATGCTCGTTTACAAGCTTTGCAGCCTGAGGCATTTTGCTTTATGAGACAACTCTGGTCTTCTGGGATGAAGGCGGTTCTCTAGAGTAATGTCTAAACTGGCTTTCAAACAGTGGGACCAGCGAGGTGAGGGCCAGTCTATGAGAGAAGGCGTGTCTACAGAGACAGGCCATCAGATCACTGTCTGAAGGATTTAAAGCTATGAAGATCAGTGTTTGGGAAGTGTTGAGGACAGTGTGGAAGGGGAAGCATCAGGGTCACACCCAGCAGGGAACAGAGCACAAGGGGCCTCTATGTCACGTAACAAGCATGCACTTTATTAACTGTAAGACCATGGAAAGGGCACTGAAGGTTTTTGCTGTTTTGAGACATGGTCTCATGTATCCCAGGTTGGCCTTGAGCTTTTGCTCCTCTTCCTTAGCCTCCCAAAGGACAAGATTACAGCTGTGTGCACCATCACACAAAGAAAAAAGTTTGATGAGGGCCTGTGATTGGATCACACTTACTTTTTTACAAAAACTGTGGACCAAAGAGCAAACACTCGAGGCAAGGAAGCCTATGAAAAAACAGGCAAGTAGCCTACAGAGGGGATGACTGTTGCATACACATGCAAAAGACAGAGGGGATGCAAACAAGAGGACAGAGTCCAGCAACACTTAAGAGGTAGAAGACGAGGAAGAATGAGGAGTATCGTGTTTGTGGGACAACAGGAATAAGGTACAATAATAAACATGTATGAAAATAACAACTAAAAACTTTATTTTTGATCTTTCCAGACAGGGTTTTTCTGTAACAGCCCTGGCTGTCCAAAAACTCGATTTTCAAACCAGGCTCGCCTCAAACTCTGAGATTCACCTGCCTCTACTTTCCAAGTGCTGGGATTAAAAATGTGTGCCGCCGGACCAGCTGAAAACCATTTTTTTTTTTTTTTTAAATTGCAGTTCAAAAAATTAAAAACAGTTGGGCTAGTGGCGTACACCTTTAGTCCCAACACCCAGGAGGCAGAAGCAGGTGGATCTCTGTGAGTTTGAGGCCAGTCTACAAAGTGAGTGCAGGACAGTCAGAGCCACATAAGAGAAATCCTGTCTGGAAAAACCAAAATAAAATAAAAGAAAAATAAATAACTTAAAAGATGGAACTAGTGTGAGACAAGATGGAGAGTAAGAGGTCTAGGAAGGCAGAGACTTTTGCCTGGAAACCTGTGGTGTGGTGCTGTGAGCCACTAAAGTGAGCAACCCACGATGAAAACCAGACTTGGGATTGTCTGTGGATCCCTTAAAAAAAAAAAAAAAGATTTAATTTACCATCTGTGTAAGTATGTGTGGGCTTGTGGGAGTTTATTTATACCACATGCATGCCCTTACTTAGCATGCCCCAGGTCATGAGTCAGCTTCCTAGCATCAAAAATTCTGAAAAGCACGGAGGTGGGGGGCGATAAAAAAAAAAAAAAAAAAAAAAAAAAAGTAAATTCACAAAACTGTAGCCCTTCTCTATCCCTATCTTGGGAGCCAGAGTCCCCGTAGCCTAGCCTACGAGTGGCACTGCACCGGGCTCACCCCAGCCAGGTTACCTTGAGCTCTGGGTAGCTCAGCACCACCAGGGAAGCGCAGGCCTGGGTACTATCCCCTTTTACGAAGGACACGTCCACACCCCCGACCCTCTGCAGGCCGGAGAAGGTGGGGTCCTGCTGCCAGGCCTCGGTGTCACGTTCCACTACGAGCGCCTTCAGCCTGGCTTGTTCCCTAGAAAGACACAAAACACCAAACCGGGCTCAGGGCCCACGCGAGAGCGCGACCCTCGTGGGGTCCTCCCCCCGTCCCATCCAACCCGCCCTCTTTTATTCCCCATTAAGCCAGAACGAGGAAGAAAAGCGCTCCACGATGCGATACACAGTACCGGAAACGGGCACCGCGCCCACAAAGGCAGGCGGCAACTTCCGGCAGCTGGCGGCCGCGCCAGACCCACGGTGCGGCACTGATGTTCAGTTTCTCAGCCGCCACAGGGGCTGTGCGGCCAGAAGGACATTGGCGAAGGCCACCACCCTTGGGTATTGCACGACCTGGACCCCGTTACCGTTTCCAGAGCGACAGGGTTTCCTCTGGCGGACATTCCGTGGCCTTCTGGGCCATACTTAGGGCCGCGACGCTTCTAAAACGTCACTTCCGGAGCGACCCGCGCCGAGCCTTCAGCGGTCGTCGCCGCCACCAGAGGCCGCTGTCACAGCAAGGCTGGGCGTCGAGCGCTGGCTGCTACCTTCCGGAGCGACTCTCCAGACGCCGGCTAGCCCAGCTGTCGGTCCCCTGTCTGTAGGTGGGTTGCCGCCCGGAGTTTGGAAATGCGAGCTCTGCTCTGCACCTTACGGGCGTCTACAGCCCTCTCAGGAAGCGGAAGAATGGGCCAGCACTTGGCATCCCTCGCACTCCCCGAGCCCTGGAGCCAGGCGCTTCCCTTACTGCAGATTCTGTAGTTCTGAGGCCAGGTTCAGGTCCGCACATTGCCCCTGGGCGCGAGCTTGCGGAGCAGAAAACCACTCTAAATTTATAGTCTAAAGGAGGAAGAGACACCTTTGCAGCATAAATTCTTAACTTGTATCGATTGTGAGAAACCCCAAGTGCGAAATAGCGAATCAAAAGACTAGTGAAAGTGAGGGGCCTGGGCATACCTTTAATGCCAGCATTTGGGAGGCAGAGGCAGGTGGATTTCTGAATTCCAGGCCAGCCTGGTTTACAGAAATTGAGTTCCAAGACAGCCAGGGCTACACAGAGAAACCCTATCTCGAAAAGATAAATAAAAAATAAATAAAAAGATCCTGCAGACCAGGGTGTGTGTTAGGGTTCTTTAGAGGAACAGAACTGAAAGAATTTAACGCTTGTCAATGAGAGTGAGGGCAAGCAGGCAAAAAGCAAGAGCTTCCTTCCACGTCCTTTTATACAGGCTGCCACCACGTGCCCTAGATTTAGGGTGGGTCTCTGGACCTTGGATACTCCAATCAAGAAAGTTGCTCATAGGTGTGTCCAACTGCTTGGGGTTTAGTTCCTTCCAGATACCTACAGTTAAGTCTCCAACTAAGATTATCTACCACACAAGGTGTCAACGCAAAACAAAATGCAAAATTGGCTGATGCCCAATGATTTGAGAGGGTGATGGGGGATGAAAATGACTAGAATTCACCATAGACAGTGCAAAGGTCAAAGAAGAAAGAATATAAATGAGAATGTGGCAGGCAGAGGGAACAACATTTGTGCCAAGCGAGGAGGGCAGTGGGTGTTAAAGGCATCAGCTAAGTTTGGCTTGCAGTTTGCTAGAATTCAGAGAAGTGTATACCTAAGTCAGTAGTTTTGTATACATACATGAGTATGTGTTTTCAGGGGAAAATATAAAAGGCTTGGATTAGACCAAACTAAAGTTTGTGGTTTGGGAAAGGCTTCCTGCAAACAGCTGACAGACCTTGAAAGCTAGCCAGTTTTCAGTTGAGAAAGCCCTGTTTGTCCAGCACTCGCTGCATGGCAGGCATTGTGCTGTTTGTCTACCCTGTGTTCTTTTTACCATAGACCTGGAAGGCATTTTGCAGAGGAGGCAACTCCAGTTTGAAGAGGTGGCTGGCCTATAGTCACTGAGTTGGCAGACAGGAGAGCCAGCACCATGCTCAGGTAGGCCTGGCTTTGACAGAGAGTGGTCAGGGTAAAGAATTTGGCGTTTGGGAAACCTTTCATGTCAGGGAGATGGGACAAAAGTTATGGTTTCTGAAGAAGTTATGGCTGAGGTGTTGATTGAAAGGAACACTGATCTTGATGTCTGTGTGGGAAGGGAACACAGCAGTAACAGCTCCAGATTATGTGGGCTACTGTAAGTGCTGCACCCTGCCCCTCCTGACTCTTACCCTGGATGGCTGAGACATTCTGGTGTGGTGTACCATAGTACTACAGAGGTGGGAGTTTCCAGCATTGCTGAAAGGAGAAAGTCGCTTTTCTTGTGCTCATTTTCCAGCATGAAGAAAACATGGATTCTGGATGCTTGTGCCTAGGTTTGCTTAGCAAGCTAAGGGGCCAAAAAGTGCAGAGAGCAATATAGATTCTAGTCGATGTTTGCTTGGTATTCAGCTCAGGGCCTTGCGATTTTCTCCTCTGCCCAGTGGTCACCTCTCCAGACTCAGGTGGTTCAGCAGCCTGATATTTTTTAGTGCTTTTCTCCAAGGGTCTGACACTTCTACCTCCCTTCCACCAACCCCCTAACCCTGGGTATGAGAAAGAATGTTAGTGGGGAGGGGGGTGTAAGACCCCTTTTATTTCTGGCCTTTTAGGGTCAGTTGGACTCCTTTGGGGCAATCCCAGTCTCTGTTGACAGCAGACACAACAGGCAGTCTCCTCCGAGCCACCGTGTTGAAACATTTCTATCTCCATGCCACCACGGTCTCACCGCTCCAAACTGTTACGTGTCACACACCACAGGACACACCTTCTCCCAGAGCTCTCCTCTTTATCTTCCTGAGTCCTAGACCATGCCCCTCTCCCTGCTTCACTAGGCAGGCTGGTACCAGCTGGCAAAGACCACACCCCACATGAGACAGTTATCAGCTGTGACAAACTAAAGTCCAATCTAAATCCCACAGTTGGGATTAAAACAAAAACATTTACATAACATAACTGAGTTTCCAAAGAAACCAGAGACTTCCACTTCGGACGTTCAACACTCAACACCTGTTGAGGAGCTCTTTCCTCCTGAGACACTGGCACCTGAGAAGCAGAGGGAGGCTCTGGAGCCCAGAAGTCCAAAGACTTACTAGATTTGCCTTCAAGGTGAAATAAGGAGTTAGGAGTTACAGGGAGAAAAGGGACCTGTGGAGATAACTGTTACTGTTCAGGGGTCCCTGGGGTTCAGCTTTGATAAAGTGTTACCCAAGCAGGGTTGGACCTTTGAGGGATGCAGTTCTGAGTCACTAGACTTGTACCTAGACTTGTTTGGAGTCATTTCTGTGGTCTTCTGGTGAAGATATTATTTGGGTGAGTACGTGTGTGCTTACACCTCTCCAGTAAGAGCATGAGGCATGTTCCTGCTCACAACCTGGTACTTTGGGGCACCCAGACTTGGGTCACCTGTGTGACCTGGCTGAGCCCTCTGAGCCACTGCTTTCTTCTTGGAACTGAAGTAGCGCATGACTATTTCAGTTAATAAATGGCAAATCATGCAATGCTTTAGGAAAGGCGTGGGATTTGAATTACTGCTTCACTTTCCTATTCCTAAGGGGCCTTCCTTATCTACAGCCCAATTTGCCGAATCAGCTCATCTCTATTTCGTGGTAGATGTGTTCAGTGGCAGTAGGGCAGTGCTGTCTCTATCATAAACAAGAGTCCTGCTCAGAGGGAAAAAAAATATTACCCCATGTGCAATAAGAGCGTAGGTTTTGTTCTGCACCCCATTGTAGACTACAGCAGGAACATTTCCACAGAAAACCAAAAACCATCTCAAAAAGCCTCGTGTAAGAAATGGAAACTGCACTCAAAAGGATTTTAAAAATCTAAAAATTCACCATTTTTTAAATGAGAGAAAGTGTGTGTGTGGGGGGGGACTGGAGAGATGGCTCAGAGGTTAAGAGCACTGGCTGCTGTTCCAGGGGTCCTGAGTTCAAGTCCCAGCAACTACATAGTGGTTCACAACCCTTTATAACGAGGTCCAGTGGGCAGGTGTACATGCAGTGCTGAAGACTGTATACATAATAAATATTAAAAAAATAATGTATGTGTGTGCTTGTGTGCATGGGCATGCACGTGGGAGTGCTTGGGGAAACCAGTCCTTTCCTTCTACTACATGGGTTCCCAGGGCTGTCAGGCTTGGTGTCAGTTGCCCTTAGGCACTGAGACATCTCCTGGATCCAAAAAGAACTCTTAGCTGTAAAGCTCAAGTTTATTAAAATAGGAATGACAAAAATAATGCAGCTTACTTTTGCCGGTGTTAGATCCATGTATTTTGTATAGACACTGAAACACTACATAGACAGAAATATCATACAAAATTAAACATCTTAATTAAAAATTCTTCATGACAGAAAAAACAAAAACAAACAAACACCTAGGCTGAGGCCAAAAAACAAAAGCCTTTACAACAAGAAAATATGGGGCTGAGCTGCCCTCTGAGGTATCATAGGTGTTGGGAAGTTAAGTGAGCCCAGTGCCCCGAAAAAACATCCATTCAACAGGAAACCTGGAGGGCGGACACGCGAGGACGGGTGCTCTAGTTTGGAATAAGAGATCACTGTTGCTGTGAACACAGTCTGAAATGCGTTGCTGGCAGGGCCTGGCCCCCATATCAGGCTGTGAGGGCTATGGTTCCAGATGCACCTTCTCCTGGTGGAGCTGAGTCCATTGCAGGGCTGACCACCATGCTGTGGTTTTGTAGCTCAGAGTCCCTGGGCCCTAGCTTTCAAGACTTGAGAAGGAAATGACTTCCAACTTGTAAACACTGTTCTTACATCTGCAGATGGTGGTGAGAGGCCAGTTGTGAGTGTCCAGAAGGATGGAGGGAACCCGAGTTGATTGACACACAGTGGCAGCGCAAGGTCAGGGTGGGCTCTCCCTCCTCCTCTTTACCTGGTCTGCACTCAGCCAGCTCGCTGTGTGCTCAGGAGGCTAAGCTCCCGTGCGCGCTGGCTGGACAGCTGCAGTGAGTGACCCGCCACAGTACTCTCCGATGCCTTTCTTTTGAACGTGCTGAAACTGAATTTTAGGGCACCACATACCCTCTACCCTAGTCACAGTGCCAGTCCCTAAACACCACTGATCAAGGCTTACACTCCACATTTTCGCTTGAAATGTCAAGCTGTAGGGACTGGAAAGGGCACTGGCCGGTTGATTGTGCTTTTGTTGTCTGTCCCCTCGCATCTGTGGCGCTGGGGAGAGCCCCGGGCTCTGCACAAGGTGGGCAAGCGCCCACCACCCAACAGTTCCGCTCGCCAACTTAGTCACCCTCCTCACTCCCCGTCCAGGGTTCTCAGGGACTGTTTGGCTTTGTCCCATTGAAATTAGAAGTGACTCATGGCGGGGTTGACATTAGCTCTTGTTCATGTGGCCTTACAGCTTTTACCAGCACCTTGGGTTTCCTTGGTTTGGTGTACCAATTTTCATACATCTTGCAAACCAAGAGATAAGTGCATAGTATTCATAAATTCAGGGACTGGAAGACAGAATAAAATGAGATTCTTCTGTATATATGCTATGGAATAAAAAATTACTACCTTTTTTTGTGCTCTCTCTATGCAATAAAGTGGTGGCCATGGAATATGAGGTAAGAGCCTGGCAGTCTTAAGGATCATTGTTGGGTGTGACCTTACTGCACTCTAGTTTCTTCTGGAATGTACAGGAGGCAGTTGATTGCCAATTTTGTTTCATCATACTTGACGAACGTTTAGAATAGGCACATGTTCCAGAAACAGCTTGGCTCTCAAAAAGCCACCAGATTGTATGGTGTGTGTGAGCCTTGAATCCAGTGCTGTGTGCACTCTCCTTCACACAAGGCCACAGCTATGGTGGGGGTGGGGTGTTGAGGAAGGCAGAGGTGCTCTACCTCACTTGCCGCTCCTGTTTGCGTGTGGCAGCTGCTTTCCACACAGAGATGCAGCTGGACAGGAGTATCTCTTCTGGGAACTGGGACTCCACTTCTGGAAGGACATCACTCTCTTTAGTCTCCATGTAACTCACCAGAGTCTCCTTGAGGCTGGGAAATCAAGGAACAAGAGAGTTTTTAACATCAACCCAGCAAGGGGTCATGCTTTCCAGTTCAAGAGGACCAAGATGCTTGCAAGACCAGACACACCGAGAGACCTTCTTGGAAGAGATAGCTAACTGTTCTACATCCTTCACACAGTGGTGTGGCTTCTGCTGCAAAGTGAACATTTGTTTATGTAACTCTACTTGATATAAGGAGAATAGGGGAAGCCACCAGCAACAGGATATTCTGCCATCAGCTGTACAAGGCCATACATACCTCCAGTTGGGGTTGAAGCTGCTCTCAGCCTGGGGACCCCTGAGTTTCAGCACAATCATCTCATGGAGCTCCAGCAGGAAGGCGTCCAGGCCGGCCTCATTCAGGAATGTGCCGAGAAGCCTTGCGTGTCGTGGACTAAGCTCCTGTTTGTATTTCCCATCAATTTCCCGAAACAGCTCCTGAAATGAAGGGTCCAATGTGACACATTCAGGCCTGGGCAGATGGTCAGTGCTGCTCCCTCCACAGTGAAAGCAAAGGTGAGACTCACCCTTTTCAGTCGCAGCCGCTGTTCTGACTTATGTGCAGATAGGAACTGCCAGAGGGCAATGGCATGTCTCAGTTGACATCTGTGTAAGGCCTGAAAGAGGAACAGTGTCACCAGTGCATGTGGAATCTCAGTGCCACATCATGGAGACATTTCTGTCTTGAGCTCATTCTGTTTCCCTTGTCATGAGACAGTCTTATCCACAAGTTCAACTGACCTATCCCAAGCAACACAGAGCTATGACATCACACACTGCAGATCCACAGTGGCCACAGATGGGGAGCTCTCCCTAGATGCTCACTTCCCAGGAGGACATCCCTCAGTTTTGAGACATGGGTTTTTTGCTCAAAAGCCTAATACGGGATAGAACTCCTGCTGACCGGAACTGGGATTATTGGTTTATAGCAC